AAAGAATGTAAAAATAAATTAAATTATTGTTTAGATCATTCATTTGGTTTACATTTTTTAAAAAAGGAAACTAGTTTTTACAAGGAAAATTAAGGATATGTAATTAAAACCAACTAATTAAGGCTTGAAAGTAAAATACAAACATTTAACTTTACATAACTGTGTAAATATAAAAATAAAACAATAAAAATGTGTACACTTCTAGATAACTTGATTTTTTTTATAAATAAGAAAGAATAATGTACAAAATTATAATAAGAAAAGGAAAGTAATTACAGACTTCACACTATCATACAGTCCAGTAATCTCATTACCGAGTATATATCCAAAGAAATGGAAATCATGATGTCAAAGGGATACTTACACTCCCACATTTATTTCAGTTCTGTTCATAATAGTCAAGATATGGAACCAGCCTAAGTGTCTTTCAATGGATATTGGATGAAGAAAATGTGCTATATATACACAATGGAATACTACTCATTCATAAAATAATTGTGAAATTCTGCGATTCCCAGCAGCATGGATGAGCTTGGAGAAAATTTTGTTAAGTGAAATCAATCAGGCACAGAAAGAGAAATATCACATGTTCTCACTTATGTGTGTGATCTAAATAAAGAAATAATAACTAACTGTTAGAAGAGAGTAGAACTGGTTACTAGAGGTCGGAAAGGGGAGAAGGGAGATGGGGGCTAGTGAGAGGCTTGTTAATGGACACCAAATTATAGCTAAATAGGAAAAATAAGTTGTACTGGTGTGCAACTGATCCAGGCATCTAAAATTAACAGTGATTTGCTGCATGTTATCAAACAACTAGAAGATAGAAGATCACGTTTACATCACAAATAAATGATTAAGTTTTGCAATGATGAGGATGTTGGTTTCCTAATTAGATCATCCCTCATTGTATATATGTACTGAAATATAACTCTGTGCCCCACAAATATGTACAATCCGTGTGTTTCAATAAACAATAAACAAACACATAAATCTCAGTTCTTTAAGTGAACAAGATGAGTAATTATTATAAAAGACAGCTGAACATAGCCTTCCCTCATCACTCTGCTTTCTGCATAGCATTCATAACCTTCTAACACGTTATAATAACTTATCTGCTCAAAAAGATATAGAATGGTTAAAGGTTAAAATTTTATTGTCTTTTCTCTTCCCCTTTATTATTACACAAACTACATAAGAAAATATTTTTTTTCACTTTTATAGTTGTAGGTTTAGCACGATGCCTGGCATGCAGCAGGTGTAAATACTGTTTGTGAATGAATGAGTGAATTACTAAATTGATAAAACAAATTATACAGATACAAGTTAAAAGATTATATCTTTCTTAATACCCATTGCCCCATTACTATTGGAGAGCACATTTTATTGGTATAAATTAATTTTCTTGAGAGAATCATGCAACACATGTGAAATATAGTTTCTGGAACCCAAAGTATGGGAATTAGGACAGGTGCAATGATGAGGATGTTGGTTTCCTAATTAGATCATCCCTCATTGTATATATGTACTGAAATATAACTCTGTGCCCCACAAATATGTACAATCCGTGTGTTTCAATAAACAATAAACAAACACATAAATCTCAGTTCTTTAAGTGAACAAGATGAGTAATTATTATAAAAGACAGCTGAACATAGCCTTCCCTCATCACTCTGCTTTCTGCATAGCATTCATAACCTTCTAACACGTTATAATAACTTATCTGCTCAAAAAGATATAGAATGGTTAAAGGTTAAAATTTTATTGTCTTTTCTCTTCCCCTTTATTATTACACAAACTACATAAGAAAATATTTTTTTTCACTTTTATAGTTGTAGGTTTAGCACGATGCCTGGCATGCAGCAGGTGTAAATACTGTTTGTGAATGAATGAGTGAATTACTAAATTGATAAAACAAATTATACAGATACAAGTTAAAAGATTATATCTTTCTTAATACCCATTGCCCCATTACTATTGGAGAGCACATTTTATTGGTATAAATTAATTTTCTTGAGAGAATCATGCAACACATGTGAAATATAGTTTCTGGAATCCAAAGTATGGGAATTAGGACAGGCAGCTAGCCCTCTAATGTAAAGAAAGCAATTATCATTAAACACTGCTGTATTTCAATATTATATGGTAAAATCAGTATTAGTCAATTGACAGAAATAATTCATAACAATTTACATTACCCAAAATAACAATGTTCTATTATTTCATTATCTTTTCAAAGGTGGAAAAAGTTTATTTTATACATATGATATACAAAAGCACAATTTATGTATTTTTTTAATCAAAATGATCACATGAAGCTACCATCAAATATAGTAACAAGAATAATAAAATAGAAGCTGTGTGCTCCTTCCCTGGAACATCTTCCAGCCTTTTCCCCGACTTAGATCTTGTTGCACTCTCTTTGTCCTCACACGGATTTGCCACCTCTCTCCCCTGGGTGACAGAGACACAAAAGATTACTCAAAGCCCATTTCCATTGAGCAGTGAGACACCCTGAAGGGAATAACTTCCTGGAATCCTCAAGAAAGAGGCATTCCTCCTTTGGGAAGTTAACACTGAGCAGAGCTTCTGTCTCAGTCTTTATTCTCCAGGCTGGAAAGTTACAGAAAAAGAACATTGGTGGGGTTATGGATAAGTATAGCTTAACAACAGAAGCTGGTAACATCAGGGAAATAACAAAGTGACATTCCATAATGCAATTTGCAAAAGGTTAAGTTGATCCACGAACAAAAGCTTGTTCTTAGCAAATACTGTGTTTTTTTTACAGCAGTTTCCTCAGTATTTTTACATAACAATAAGGCAACTTTCTTAACATATCAATTAGTAGGTTAACCTGCTCTCAAGAGCCAGCAATTTTGCTGTATTACAATTTTATATCCACAGCAGAGACTTTAGCCTGGGGAAAGTTTCCTTTCTTTTGCAAGGTTAGCATTTCTATATGTAATTTTAAGAAGTTAGGCTAAACCTGAAACTACAGGGCTTTGGAAACTAGGCCCTGTGAAATACATTTGCTTTATAAATATTAGTGCGCTCTACAATAGAGTGCCTGAGACATTGCACTAAGCACCAGTAAAAGAGATAAGCTCCAGAACTTGCTTTGAAGAAACTTACCATCTTTCATGACATATAAAAATATAAATAATGAAAATATTCTAAGAGTTTTAAGTTTCAAACTGGGACAGAGTAAAGTGTAAAAGAAGATACCAATTCAAAAGTTTTAGAATTATTTAAAACATTCAGGGCAAAAAGCAAAATATAAATGTAAATTAAGTCTAAATCCAGGTCAGTTTGATAATCAAATGTGTTCTCTGTGGTTCTGGATACAAGAAGTTCTCTTATCACCTCATAAACAGTGACTAGAGATCCTCCAGGTCAGTTAAATCGACAGCCACTTTCAAAAACAGGGTGTCATCTTTAATGTAGGTGTTCTTGGTATTCTCCAAAGTGGAATGAGCCACAAAGCGGGGACAGCCGGATGCAATGTTCATCTCTCCATCAGGTCGTTTAAAGCTGCTGCTATTGGGGTCAGCCTTGAAGGTCTCCATAATGTGGTTCTTTTTGCCACTCTGGTCCAAAAGCATCAGGGTCACCCTCTGCCTGAATGGCCACTGCAACAGCGAGTCAAACTCTCCTCGCATCACCACAAAATACAGGGATAGGTGTGTCCCCTTCCCAGACCCATCCCCATTCAGGTACGCTCTAGCACAGAGCCGGTAGCCACAGCGGCTGGGGTAGAAGGGCTGGCTGAAGATGGACACCGTGTGCCCATCCACTGCCTCCCTCTTCTTCATCTGGTAATCTGTCACCTTCCAAATGAGCTTTCCATTATAACAGGCACCCTCTAGCAGTTTAAATCGCTCTTCATTTTTATTCAGCTGTGCTTTATGAATATTAATGTGGGCATCATGTTTGTTAGTCTCCCCTTCTAAAACAACTGCAAAGAAAAAGAAAAAAAAAAAAAAAAAAGATTCCATAGGCCTAAAAGTTGTCTTTAGAATTTGCCCAAAGTGGAATTTTGTTGCCTGAAGAGAACCAATAAAATTCTGACATCTTAAAGATGAAATGAATTCATTGTCCACAAATGGACCATTCATATTAACAATATTAACTTGGTGAACATCACGTCTTGGCAAACTGGCACCAAGAAAACCCAAATGTGTACTCTGAAAGTGAAACTTGCCAAAATGTAGGTAAGACACGCTGAGCATTCAACTAGCATGAATTAGCATGGTGAGCCCCGCACTTCTCTAACTAGAATGCTTTTAAATAGCCAAATTCTTTTGTATTTTCCCATACCTAAAACAATGATCCCATCACAGTTCTCATTATTTTGGAGTTTCATTAAATAATAAAACAATTTTCTGAAATTTAATAGCATTGTGCTATTGTGTTTTTCTATCCTTTCTCAGTACATAACATTACATCTTTTAAAATTTTCTTCACTCAGAATTTAATTTAAAAAAATAATTTGTTTCTCTTCTGTGATTGCTCTGGCTTCCAACACGATGTTGAATAGTAGCAGTGAGAATGGGCATCTTGGTCTAGTTCCTGTTATTAAGGGAAAAGCTTATAGTTTTTCCACATTCAGGATGATTTTGGCAGTGGGCTTATCATATGTAGCTTTAATTATGTTTTGATACTTTCCATCTATGCCTAACTTGTAGAGAGTCTTTATCATTATAGAATGTTGAATTTTGTCAAAAGCTTCTTTAGTGTCTATAGAGATGATCATATGGTTTTTGTCTTTGCTTTTATTGATGTGGTATATCACATTTATTGATTTGCATATGTTGAACTTGCATCCCTGGGATGAATCCCACTTGATCATGCTGTATAATTTTGTGTATGTGTTGCTGTATTGTTAGCTAGTATTTTATTGAGGATTTCTGCATCTAAATTCATCAAGGATACTGGACTGTAGTTTTCTATTTTTGATCTATCTTTGTCTGGTTTTGGTATCAGGGTGATATTTGCCTCATAGAATGAGTTTGGGAGAATGGTCTTTTGGAACAGTTTTCAGAGAATTGGTATCAGTTCCTCTTTGAAAGTTTGGTAGAACTCTGCAGTGAACCCATCCAGTCCTGGGCTTTTTTTGTTGGGAGCCTTGTGATAACAGCTTCAATCTCTTTTATTGTTATTGGTCAGTTCAGATTTTCTATATTGTCTTGGCTCAGTTTCAGTAGTTTGTATGCATCCAAAATTTATCAATTTCCTCCAGATTTTCAAATATTTGTCATATAGTTGTTTATAGTCGTCTCTAATGATTCCTTGTATTTCTGAGGTTTCAGTTGTAATATCACCTTTTTTATTTCTAATTTTTGCTATTTGGGTCTTCTCTCTTCTTAGTTAATCTTGCTAAAGGTTTGTTTATTTTATTTATCTTTTCAAAAAACCAACTTTTTGTTTCATTGATCTTAAAGGGCATCCAAATTGGAAAGGATGAAGTCAAGCTGTCTCTTCTTGCAGGTGATATGATCCTATGTATCGAACAGCCTAAAGCCTCTATATAAAAAAAAAAAAAAAA